TTGTGTGTGTGTGTGTGTGTGTGTGTGTGTGTGTAGAATTGATTCGATCTTCTCATACTCATATTTACTTACTCAATAGCGTAAATTAGCTTAAAAGGAGTTAATATTTTCTTCACACATTCACCAACACACACACACACACACACATTTATATACACATACATATGCATACAACAACTTATATATGATACAGAGTTCAACGAAACCTTAGTATTTTTGCACAAAAAAGATACTTTGAAAGAGTACATATAGACGCATATCATATGTCATAGACAATGAAGATACTCTTACCAATAATGACATAATGGTTCTCTCTCTCTCTCTCTCTCTCTATATATATATATATATATATATATATATATATATATATATATATATATATATATATAACTGCTCATCAAAGTGACAAAGCTATTATACTGTTTAAATCAATTAATGAATATTTTGATATGTTAAAACACAAAGTAAAAGACTGTGATAACAGTTCACAAAACAACCTTCACAACAAAAAATAGACATAATTTAATATGAACTTGATTGATTGGATTAGATTCTATTGCTCTATAGTCACCATCCTTCCAAATTACTCCTCAGGTTAAATTTCCAGACACCGTCAAAGCATCCACACAAGGAGGCGATATATATATCACCCTGGAGGTTGAGTACTTCGATCCAATCAACAACTCGTTACTCAAGGGGTATCTCTCATAGCCCAAGTGGGCTAGTGGATAACGCTTTGACAAGTGAAACGATGAGCACTGGGTTTGAGTCCCACTGCGAACATCATCACTGACTGAATAATGTAGGCACATCTACCAAATGATGAGTCCTACTGTGGTGAGAGTAGGCTGCTAGCCAAAGTTGGTAGACATTAATTTACGTCAATGTTTATGTCCCCAATATTGGTCGTGAGAAAATATGAACAAAGACTGAATCAACAACCGATCACAACAGACTTTGCGTAGGCAGATACAGTTGACATATAGAGATGATCTGACATTCAAGAAACAGTCACATAAAGATGCAAGGTCAACTTTCTGTGAGAAACAACCAGTCAGAAGAGTGTGTTTGTTTGCTTGAATAAGCTATAATAGAGTACATGAAAATATATAAATACGTGTTGATTCCCTTAATAAACGATCTGTTGCCTGGCTCTTGTCTTCTTTTGTTACACTACATAGGACAACATACGTGCTATCTTAAATTCTACTACTGCCACCAAAGTACTTACTCGAAGAAAAACTTAATGATACCTGAAATCTAAGGATATTTGAAAACAGACTACAATCCGACCAAAATTACCAGCAGATTCCACTAAGTGAGATAAGGAGAAGAGTTACTCGCCAATCATGTTCGCTGGAGATTGATTGCACTACACATATCGCGAATTGGCAGAATTTGGAATTCACGAGTCACAGTGGCTGAATGGTCTACGAGCTAGCTAGCTTGCTCGCTCGCTTTGTAACCAGAAGGTCCTGAGTTTGAATCCCGGCGGGTGAGTACTGATGAAGAGTTCCAAGCTAGTCTGGCGGAACAGCTGTCAACCACTTCCTGGCCTTCCAACGGTTCTCTAACTGATGTCAGGAAAATATTCAGTCACCGCGCAGCGTTAATACCTATCTCCATGAATTACACATGCATGATGATGAGTGCTAGATGAGTGCCACGCTAGGCTGATTCAAATTCTACTGTGACCTAGATTTTCATCGCAATTTTCATCACCTCTGTCTTATTACATACAATCCAAAAAGATATCCAAGGTAGTCCATTTATGCGCATATATATATATATATATATATATATAAGACTGTTTTAATTGAAAGTCACTAATAGATCGCGTTTGCCTCAACAGATCACATTAAGACTATACCTCTCTAAAAACGGGGTATTTTTTTCTCCCCACGTCTGCTAAGCAGAACAGTATATATAAAACAGCGTGTTTTTTTTCAGAGACTGTATAACGCATTCCAGGAGTATAAAATACTGTCTATGATGAAGATGATGGACATAAATACAAGAAGGCATTAGGATAGATAGACAGGAAGAGAGAGATAGAGAGAGAAAGAGACATAGAGTTTAATGCAATTAATATTCCTGTCTTATCATCAATGCCAATCATTCATGTTCAAATGGCTTTTGTGTATATCTTCTGAAATGGACTAGACAGACCAGCTAATTAATTAATTCATTAATTAATTAATTGATTAGGCTCATCATAGATATGTTGTTAACATGAAGAATAAGAGTTAACTCGATACGCGAGATACAGATGTCTATATTAGAGGGTTGCAGGCAATAGGTAGGAAGCCTTGACACTCGCCTGTCAGTAAGACGTATCTGCATGCGTGAAGGAACTCATGTGTCTCTTCTGAGATTCGAACCTGCATCACCCAGTGGGTGCTTCAGTCATAGACGTTACAAGTAGGCCATTCAGGCTCGCGAGTTCGAATATCAGAAGGGACATGAGTTCCTTTACGCATGCAGATACGACTTGCTGACTGACTGGTGAGTGCCAACCAACACGAAATCTAGGTCAGGTAGGGCTTCCTGTGGCCAGTTGCCTCTAACTATCTCATATCACCAAATCAATATGCACTGTGATGGCGAGCTACCTAATGGCATGGTGGCCACATTGCAAACCTGACTGACTGATAGAATCCAGTCTGCACCAAAGAAAGGAGTAAACACACATCACACTAGTTGCCCACTAGTCTTCAATCAAAGTACATTTGTCTGTACACATTTAAATTAATGAATGCCTATTTAATACAGTTATGTATGTTCTTCGAAATGCAATAGGACATTTTAAATGACAGTCTATAGTGTTTTACTTAGATAATCAATGTAAAAAGTATACCTCAAGTGTAGTTAGTAGTCCATATAAGATGTGAGTTAGCTTTTCTTCTTTATTCCCTGAATTCACTTTTAAGTAGCGGGTGTGTTGTTTATTTTATGAATTGAAGTTTCTAGCCTTATAGCTAACTTTCCCTATTTTTTTTAAAACTTACTAGCAGCTAATAAAGTACATCGGCCGAGAATCGGAACTTGAACCACGTGTATAATTTGATGAGGATTCTACTGGTGGACCACCGACGCACGAGTCAGAACATAATAATTTTCCAATGTTACATCTGTGGGTGGGTGGGCGGTCGGATTACACTGATTTTAAGTAAGATTAAGGGTCTTGAACCAACACATGCCCATGCGTATCACCTTATAGGTTGTGGATTTGATGCTTGACAGGGTCATAGGCCACACAGGTGGACCCTCAGTATATATATATATATATATATATATATATATATATTCATTCCTCCCTTTGAGTCCCGAAAGGAACATAGTGGCTTCAAGCTTTAGAGTCCGAAGGTTAAGTAGCATTGGTGTTGTTTTAACGGGATGCGGATTGCAAGTCTCACTCCTAACCTCCACCGTCTACCAGGCTAACTGCCGGCTAAGGGGGGGGGGGTTAGCAGTGCATCGGCTGGGAACCGAACTCCTGACCACATTCGTCGTTGATGAGCATTGCGCCACAAAACTACCAACGCCCTGTAGTCCTGAACTAAAACAAAACGATTTTGAAACGACATGCCTTCATGATGGAATACACCAAAATGATTTTATTTAAGACTGCAGCATTTATCAGAAATATATATATATATATCAATGGTTCAGTAGTAGAACATTCGCTAACCATGCATCACGTGGTCCGAGTTGGATCACCGGCAAACTCACACCTAAACCTCACCTAGATGGTAGGAAGTACGGACATGCGGGAAGGTTGGGCGTCAGGTTAGCAACCCCATCCCTTTAAAAAAATAGTTAACATTGGTACTGAAAGTTCAAGGCTTAAACTTTAAGCCCTATATTTCACTCGGAATGCATGGGAATAAAGAGATTCGCCAGAAACAAATCTTCACGGAAATATCTAAACCAGAACAAGGTAAGTTAGGTGATTTAACAACCAGCATTATTATTCCCGTGGGTTCCAAGTGGAACATAGGGCTTCAGAAACACATCTCCACTTGGTTCTATTCCCTGGTGTCCTCTTCAGCTGTGTCCACAATTGCCCAAGTTATCTCATCTCCTCTATGTCACCCTCACACCGCCAACCTAGTCGTCACTTTTCATTAGGATTCCTCTCAGGCGATGAACTGCATTGTGCGTGATGTCCTTTGACGGTCTCCTTCAGTGGTGTATACCCGATCCATCCATCTCCATTTGTCTAATCAAAACTGGTTGAATAGGTGTTAAGTCTACTGTAATACTTCAAGGTATGAATCTCCATCTTATATAATTTATGAAACAGTAATTAAATATTTGTTTAACAGCCATGCATTCCTGTTAAGTATTCACTGTGTTAGAATATTCCCCCAGCTACACACGTGGTCGAAGGTTAGATTCCTGGTCTAGTTTCTTAGCCGACCATAACTCCCCTCTAGAAAAGAAGGGGAAAACTGAGCTTAAGGCTTGCGACCTCGCCACATAAAAGAAAAAGCCCCATCACTACTGACACTTCAAAAGCTGGAATGCGGGACTTCAAGAGAGAGAATGAAAAAAATAACAAATTCCCACAGTTACTCTTCCTAAATATAAGATGGAATGATGAGAGTTACAATTAATCTGAGTGTCAACAATAAATACACTGACCTAATGTTAGACGGTGTGAGACGATCGGTAAGATGCGCCCACAACCTTGCTTAGCAGTAGGCTAGTAGGCGTGGCTGCCTACCGACTGCTTCTAAATATCCAAGAATAATTTTTAAAAAATTGCACTGCAATGATGAGTTTCGTACGTAGACTGATGATCACATTGTAAACTTAACCTACAGAACTCAGTCAGCATGAATACATACCGTTAAGGACGCCCCAACTCCACCCCACCCCCCACCCCCGGCCAAGTATCCAAACAACATAATTATTGACTTAATTATCGAGAGAGATAAAACAATATAAATTCATAACAAAGATGATATTAATAATAATAAATAAATAAACATTACCTCTAAACTAAAATAACCTCGATCAACATAATCGCCAAGAAATAGATATCGGGTTGTTTCAGGTGGACCGCCAACTTCGAATAATTTCATTAAATCGTAGAATTGACCATGTATATCTCCACAAACTGATTTTTGTTTTTAGCAAAAAATAACACATAGACAATAGAAAAACGATTAGACAAACAAACTAATAAGCAGCAATGATGGCGAAATGCATTAATTAAAAAACAATTTTGTCTAAGAGAATTTTCATTATTAAATAGGTATATTCATTCTTCAGGCTAAATCATCACTGTCTACTGTGTGTTCATGTATGATTTTGCAGTATGTTAAGAAGACAATTGCAGCGAAGAAAATTTTCTTTTCGATGAAGTCATCATCTAGGTAGCTGTACATTCATTCGTGTATTTATATCAAATGGATGAGAAAGTTCCAGAATAATTTCCGGTTAAGGGTCAAATTAATAAAAATTAAAACTAGGAATTAGAATGCAATAATAAACAGGGGGCGGGACGGATAAAACTCAAACAAAGTAGCATCATAATAACTAAGAAGATTGACATTGTGCAATTAGGGGTTAGAAATACGCTCTTTCCTCGAGGATTCGGAAGATATGCAGCGAGGAGGTGGTTGAAGAAGAACTGTGTAATCTTCGAAAAACCCTTATGTAAAACGGTTTCCCGCCTAGGTTCATAGAAAAGAATCTCAAATCTGAGAAGACTTCCGAACAAGTCCACACCGTTCCAAAGAAAATACTTCTGCTTAATCTGGAATTCAAAGTTAACATCGAAGCAGAAATCCTTCGTAAACGCCTCTCCAAATCGATGAGGAAAACATACTTAGCCGAGAGCCTACGACTGACGTTTTCCTGTACGAAACTGTTCAGCCAGAACACGAAAGACAAGCTATCGCATCAGGCCACCTCAACGTGCATATACCAGTTTACTTGCTCTTGTGGAGCTGAGTACGTTGGCCGTACCATGTGCCGACTTGAAAAACGCACTCGTGAACACTACCCAAGGAGACCAAAAGCGTGTATACAGTTCAGTGACAGAACATCTGGTCAATTCAGGACATTCAGCACCTTTCGAAAAATCCTTCAAAGTAATATACAAAATTCAATGAAACTTATCAAAGGGAGTGAAATCAAGACATCTGGGCAAAGCCGAGGCACTAGCTATACTAAAGCTCAAAACCACGCTTTGTATACAAAAGAAATACGTCCAACCCCTGTCCCTGCCATGGCCATCATAGACAGGTAATTTTTTTAGTAATCACTATCCCATCGCCTTTCTCATCTAAACTTCCTGTTTATTAATGTTATTTTTTAAAGGTTTTCTTAATCCCTGTTTACACTACCATATTTTCATATCTGAACTTCGTGTTTATTTTGTCATTTCACTATTTCTACGTATTTAATCCCTGATTGCATGAACAATTATTCACCACATTAGTTTTTATCCAAACATCCTGTCTATTTTGTTATTTCTACATTTCTAACCCCTAATTGCACAATGTCAATCTTCTTAGTTATTATGATGCTACTTTGTTTGAGTTTTATCCGTCCCGCCCCTGTTTATTATTGCATTCTAATTCCTAGTTTTAATTTTTATTAATTTGACCCTTAACGGAAATTATTCTGGAACTTTCTCATCCATTTGATATAAATACACGAATGAATGTACAGCTACCTAGATGATGACTTCATCGAAAAGAAAATTTTCTTCGCTGCAATTGTCTTCTTAATAACTCCTATGACCCAATGTGTATATTCCGTGATTTGCAGTTGATATATATAATGTTGTAACAGCATTGACCAGCTACAGCCTGGTTGATGAACTCCTTTGAATGGATGCATCGATATGATCAGGATTATTCGGTAGAATCCAGAACAAGTGTTTTGTCTTGTTTGGGACTCGCTGACCGGATGTATTTTCTCTTCGGTGAATGATGATGTCCTCACTCAAACTTGAAGACTGTACCCACAGGTCGGTGTATATGAGCGGATGCCACGATATTACCAGCATTAAAAATCCAAAGCTACTTGACTGATGGTGCTTAGCAGTAGACTCCAAGAAGGGCGCATCACCTCCTATTCGGGTCTGATTGAAAGAAGAAATTTCACTAGATCTTCGAAACTTCTTTTTCCACTAGGAAATGTAACTTTTTCTTCTTAAAAACAACGACATTTTTCTAGAATCAAATTCACAGTTTTGAAAAATTCATCATGACTTCCTAAGGACACAAGACCACATTATGTAAGTCCATATGATAACATGAACAGTAAGCAGGAAAGTAAGGGAATCTATGTAGTACCAACTTCCCCCAAAAGTAATTAATCAAAATTTGGGTGCTATTTAAATTGATTCGGCACTCTGAGCTGACTCAGTCCAAATAGACTAATGATGAGCTCTCTATCAAAAGAGAGAAAGGATATGAGGTATTTTGATTACTTCAAATGTCAGTGGTTCAGTGGTAGGACACTCACCAACCACGACTCATGTGATCTGGGGTCCTATTCCCAGCCGACTAGCTCCTGAACCTTCCCACCCTCTCCCCAACAGATATTAAGCCCAGTAAAGAGGAATGGTTGGATTTGAGGCTAGCAACTCCATCTCATGAAAAAAAATAAATACCACTTCTATAGAAACTTCAAATCCAAAGCTTACAGACCTTTCTTCTGGTTGGAATGCAAAAGAACGAAATAAAAATGGGTCGATTCAATCCATTTAGCAATGCAAAAATTTGATTGGTATAAGTTGTCCCTAACTACTCACACTAATCAGTAGTATAAACCAACAAAGTAGCTAGGATTTACAGAACAATCAGTTTACATAAGATCTCATATAAGTACGCCACAGAACACATAGCCATAGTGTACATTCATTTTCCCTTTCATAGGCAAATCGTAGTCATGTAGTATATAAATGAATGAATGACGTGTGTAATACAGTTTATTGTTTACATATATACACACACATATATATATAATTGCAAAGATTTAAAGTTCAGTTGGATGACAGTGATATTCTCCTATAAGCAAGATGGTCTAATTGACATAGCTTTCCTTGTCTTCATGGACAACAGCTTCAAGGTCGACTTCAAAATGAAGTGTGGGAGAAGTTCAAGTATCATAGCTAAAGTCAAGGTCGAGTCAAAGTCAACCTTCAAGAACCCAACACACACAGGGAATGATGTCTGTCTGTCTGTCTGGATTCAACATAGAACTTCGCATCGAAGTGCACCAGTTCGAGTTGCCACGTTCCAAATAGCACACAAAGGTAGACAAGAAGATGAGTGAAGAGAATCAATAAAGTTTGACAAGTATAATAGCGAAACAGAATGGGTAATGTTGGAAATATATATGGAAGATTACAGAGACTGAATACATCTGCGCTGGCCATTGACAACGATTTTGAGCCATGTCACCTATTGTCTCCAGCCATTGATTCTTAGAATCAGTCCCGAGGGCCCCAACCCGGAAGTCTGCATCTCCCTACCTGACCGACTCAGTTTAACTGTCAAGGATTTCATGGATTGATGAGGCCATGTTTTTGTTTGGCCACCACTTACTCTTTTCCAACCTGCACCACCTATATCAGCTAGTAATGCCCGTCGGGGGAGGCGGTGGTTAGGCATGCGCAGCCCGTGACCTATACATTTCAATATATGCAACTTTATAGCCTCGTCGATTGATTTTACCTCTTTGCCCAACACTCTACGCCTAACGTTAACATTACTTACCTTATTAAACCACCTAACGTGAGACAGAGATCGCAGACATCTGTGATCGAAAGCAGTCAACGTTTTCATGTCTTCAACTCGTATTGGCCATGTTTCAGAGCCATAGAGAAGGACGGAGCGAACTGATGATCAGTACACACGTCCCTTGGTTGATAGCTGGATGTCACGCCTACGCCAGAGATGGTGTAGGTCAGCGAAAGCAGCTCGAGCTTTTTGAATCTGTGCTGAGATTTCGTCGCCAATCAGTCCGTTGGTGCTGATACAACTTCCCAAATAGGTGAAGTGGTCAACATGTTCTATCACTTCACTCCCTATCACTAAGCTAGGAGTTGACGTAGTCCAGTCCTGTAACAGCATCTTATATTTTGCAGGGGCGAATCGCATGCCAAACATACGAAGATTGTTGCTCAAGGTGCATTTTGTCAGCATCCTCCCCTAACAGGGAATGCTATGAAATATCATTCCAAATCAAGTCATCCCTAACTTTTTAGACTTGGAGAGGATAGACACAGTGTTCTACTTATTTAATAGCTACTTTTTCTGCAAATCTACAGTTTTAGATGAGCTCATGGCTTATAAGACTAAGCTTTAAAGTCTAGGGTTAAAGTTGAATTGAGAGTTGAGATTATGGTTAAAGTTAGGAGTAGGTTGAAAAATAGTGTCACAGATATTAATGGATCTCAAAGCACCATGACCTATATTCACCTGGATGAATGGGTATATCATCCATGGTACGATTTCTGTGTAGTGAATGGGAGAAATTCTTACATCAGTGTGATATCATGTTTGTAGTGTATTTTCCAGTGTATTTTTATGCAGCTCTTTTGAGATCTGAATTCTGATTGGTTGTTCAAGGTCACTGTAGTTTTGGCTATGATAGTTTAATATTTGTCGAAGTGGGCTTTGAAAATTCTTTATAAGTACACAATAACCGTCCACATCCTAATGACTATTGAATGTGATAAGTTGTTTCCCAAGATTTTTTCAGATTATCATCCTCTTTTTCATCCTACATCGTTATGGATTATTTTATCATTCTGATATTTGACTATCTCTTTCTGACTGTTTGATAGATTTGTTCGATGACTTTAGATTCACCTATTTACCAATGGTTCTAGTAATTCTATGATATTCTTGATATATCTAGTCTCTAGAAATGAACAATCGTGTGCAAGTTCACTGAGGCGGTTGCTTACTACACCAACATATTTCATTCTTTGCTATCTGAATGGAACAAAGGTCTTCAGGTTTGAAGCCTAGATGTTTTAGTAGCAATGGTGTTGTATCTCTTAGTGATGGGAACGTGGGGTGGTGTTGCTAACCATTCACTGAATCACATCCTCTTTTCTGGGCTTGCTACCGGTTGGGTGAGGCATAGGAA